TAAAAAAATTTATTTTTAAAATTTAACATAAATTTACTCTAAATTAATTAAATTTAACATGATTATGGTATTAAAACAAAAGAAAGGGAGAGAGAAGCTCGATTGTGAGAGAGAATCATTGTCTCTACATGAATTATTTTACCTATAAATAGAAAGTGAGAGGAAAACAGCAAACAGAGGGAAAAGGAAGGAGATATGGCAACGGACTTGAAGTGCTGTGGGACTGAGTTCTTCCTCTACGTGCTGGGAATAGTTGGGCTGGTTGCCTTTGCTGGGTTGATGGCTGGTTTGACACTGGGTCTCATGTCTCTGGGTCTCGTCGACCTCGAAGTCCTCATCAAGTCCGGCCGTCCCCAAGATCGTATCCATGCCGGTGCTCTTTTCTTTCTTTTTGTTTTACCTTCTTGATTATTCTGAAAGCCTCATAATGATTTGGATTGACAAAACTTTGTAAAATTTTGATCTTGACAAAACAAGTCTGTCTTTGGGTGCTTTATTAACTAGTTTAATCTGGAGGTATATAATTGAAATTTCTGCTTTTTTTTATTTTTTTATTTTTATGGCAGCTAAGATATTTCCTGTGGTAAAGAATCAGCATCTTCTGCTATGTACTCTATTGATAGGCAACTCTTTGGCTATGGAGGTAACTCTGATGGGCATTTCTTTTGTTACTGCTATATTTGTAATCATATATCAGTGTGTTGTGTTGTTTCTTTAGCCTTTTGCTTTCCTGCACAGGCTCTTCCTATATTTTTGGACAAGCTCGTGCCTCCATGGGCTGCAATTGTGATATCTGTGACCCTGATACTCATGTTTGGAGAGGTTTGTTTGTTAAACATTGTAAACTGGGTAGCAATTGTAGTAGATGCAGCGTTCTCATTAATATGTGCTTGAATTTTCATTGACAGATATTGCCACAGGCAATCTGTACTCACTATGGCTTGAAAGTTGGAGCTGCTGCTGCACCACTTGTCCGTGTGCTTCTTATTCTTTTTTTCCCAATTTCTTATCCAATTAGTAAGGTACAGTCATGCCTTAATTTGTATTTTCTCAAGTTAAATAATTTTGTTTGTATATGATGATCTGTGCAAGTTTACTTGATAGTTAGACATGTTTCTATGAGACTCGGCCTTTTCTGTTACTTTCCTGAACTTTGGTTTTATTTATGTTTTTGTATTTCCTAATAATTTCTATAAAATACTTAGGTTCTGGATTGGATGTTGGGTAAGGGACATGCTGCTCTTTTACGGAGAGCAGAACTAAAGACTTTTGTGGACTTCCATGGCAATGAGGTATTAAATTTAAATTACTCAGTTTCAAGTTTCGAAGTTTTAGAAGTAGTTGGTGTAGACAAGTTCAAACTTTCAGCTGCTTGGAATTTGGTCAATTAGCATGGATCAGCCTTGGCTTATATTTAAATGGTCTAAACAACCCAATGCTGCACTTTATTATGGATGAAATTCAGAATGCATATTCTTTGGTTTTAGGCTGGTAAAGGAGGGGATCTGACACATGATGAGACTACTATTATTGCTGGTGCTCTTCAAATGACTGAAAAAACTGCAAAAGATGCCATGACACGTATATCAAAAGCATTTTCCCTTGATCTGGATGCAACTCTTACCTTGTGGGTTTGAACATTCCTTTTTGTTCTCTTTCTTTCTGGTAGGTTATTTCTTCTTCACGTGTTCTAAGCTGTCTTTCTGTCTCTCTCTCTCTCTCTCTTTTTGCCTGTTAGGGAGACTTTGAATGAGATAATGACAATGGGTCATAGTAGAGTTCCAGTTTACCATGGAAATCCAGCCAATATTATTGGGCTTATTCTGGTAATTTCATTTCATTGCTTTCTCCATGCAAAATATTGTGTGCAGCTAGAATAACTAACAAAATTCTCATCTACATTCAATTATATTCCATAGTCATGGTATTTGTACCCACCACAATCCACAATTTTTTCTGGAAACTGTTATGAAGAATTTTTTCCTTTTTGCAGGTTAAAAATCTTTTAAGTGTTGATCCAAGGGATGCAGTTCCTTTGAGAAAAATGATCATAAGAAAAATTCCTCGGTAAAATTTTCTCCTTCTTCTTTTGTTATGTTTTGTTTGTGTGCAAATTTGGCTTAATATGGAATTGGTTGGATAACATATTCCATATATATTATGTTTCTTCTACTTAAAAGAAGGAGCTAATTTATCATCTTCTGCTTTCATTCCCACAGGGTATCAGAAGATGTTGCCCTATATGATATTTTAAATGAATTCCAGAAGGGTCATAGCCATATTGCTGTTGTATACAAGGATCTGAATGAGACTAAAGAAACAGCCAGCCTTCAGTTCAAGGACAGCTGCAAGAAGTCAAGAGGCCAACCTGAGACGGTGTTGAAAAGAGGTAAGGATGTGTGTGCCTGGAACAGAAAATACAAAAAATGCTCTTAACTGATTCCTTTTTTTTTTTTTTCAGTTTCTGTCTCAGTTTTTCAGACTTGAAATGTTTTTTGTTTCAATGAACAAATCATGGTTTCTATATGGTTTCAGTTACGTTTACCTCCAAACTTGCTGATAGGTTTTGTGTGTTTCATTCATCATGAATGGTTTTAGTAAAGAATTATAGGATAAATTTATCTTTGGTGTTTTCCTGAGTTTCCAAACTTGTGCTGCTAATTGTTGATGGATTCCTAAACCTTCTTTTTTATGTTATTTGGTTTATTTATATGTTTTACTTATGATACAAAGGGTTGTCATTCTGGTACAACTGAATTTATGTTTTTCTTATCGCATTTATGGTTTTTTTTTCCCCCTGATGGTCATCTTGTCTCAGCTACTTAGTCCATTATTTTCATGCAAACACAAAAACCCTACCCAACCTTAAAAATGAAGTGCCAGTCAGTTCTTGATAATTTTGTCTAAGTCTTCAGTAGATAGGACATTATAATGATTGATGCTGCAAGGTTGGTTCAACATTCACAACTTTTTAGGTTGCCTGATCTGATTATTTTGGAATAAATTTGACTGATATTTTTGGTGGATACCAGATGTTAAGGAGGATGGTTGCACTGCCTCTACCCAAAATTTGGGGCTTGGTTTGGCCTCACAAGATGCTCAAACACCTGCTCCTAGCAGTGATGGAGGTCAACAGATGAAGAAGAGTCCACCAATTACTCCTGCCTTTAAGAAGCGACACAGAGGTTGTTCAGACTGCATTCTGGACATTGAAAATGCTCCAATTCCAGAGTTCCCATCCAACGAAGAGGTTGTTGGTGTTATTACCATGGAGGATGTTATTGAAGAACTTCTTCAGGTAAATTTGAAATCCTTACCATGCATGTTCCTGTTCTAGCCCAGTATTGCTGGGGGAGATTTAGGATGAACCATCAACCAGAACTCTGTATGGTTTTTCAACATGACAGTAATATTGTTTCTGAAATCATCAAAACACTTAGTAGTTGCCTAATATCATGGAGCAAGTCCTGCCAGTTAGCTTAAATGCTCCATTTTCTGTGTCCAAGAATACATGTTTTACTGATGGTTTTGCAACAAAATATTTGTTATGGCAATGGTGATGGGTAACAAATTACTCAACTGAAGTTACATCTTAATGTCTACTATCCACACTTGCTTTTTTCAGGAGGAGATACTTGATGAGACCGATGAGTATGTCAATATTCATAACAGGTAGGAATTACCTTATCTCTGCCTTCATTTGGTTTTACTTACCTGCTATTCAAACGTATTTCGATCTCTTACAATATTCAATGTCTCTGATTTAGCTTTTGCCTCGGATGGATTTAGCATAATCAATACATGCCATGCAAATGAAAAACAGGAACTAGGACTACAATTATAGACTTCTCTCATAAAATCAAAAGTAATTCCTTGGTAATTCTTGGCAATGCAGGATAAGGGTCAACATGCATGCCTCTCAGGAAAAGGTTTCTAGTTTGAATTCCATGCAGCCTTCTTCCAGTCACTTCTCTGTCACCTCCACCCGAAAATCACTGTCACCAATGCCTGCTGGAGGTCTTGCTCAACGTTCATCTGTTTCTCATCACCTGGCAGCCCTTGGTCCCACAACCCCGCCCCTCCCAATTTCTAGCAATACTTCAATTGCAGGTTCACCTGCCTTGCCACAACAAGTTTCTGGAGATCACTCATTAAAAGATAGGTGATATTAAGCATTTTTCATTTTCCTTGTTACAAAATAATCAAACATAGATGAAGTCAGAAGGAGACGCCAAGATAGTTTCTTGGTAATAGCTAATAGCATATCCGGCATAAATTTTAGCAAGGACCATACTGCAACATAAACTACAATTCTATATATGTACAGAAGTAATGTTTTCTTTTTGGTGTGAGCTTAATGTAAAAGAACTAACTCAGACATTATTTGACCAGGCAGTGATGATTTGTATTTGTTAATTGTAATTAAAGTTAACGTGTAATTTCCACGCCGAAATAATAGTTACAATGTATGTGGTGCAATTACTAATTTAACCCCTTTGCATCACTTGTCGTCTCCCATTTCGTTCCGCGTTTTCATCCACTGCATCATTACCCTATATATTATTGTAACTCATGAACCGTTATTATATGATTGATTAGTTTTATTTAGTAATTCATTGATAATGTTATATATATTTATT